GCCCAAAGAAACGGTACGGCTTATTAATGTGGCAATTTTGTTAACAAACCCATCAAGTGGACATTTGGGGAAATGGGTGATGGGGACCAGGAAGAATTACTAATATGACAAATTTAATTGTTAATAAATTTTTTTACTGTTAATGATTGAATTAATCATTAAAATTTAAACAAATAAATTATATAAACATAATTTAAAATGGAGGAAAATTATAAGCAATTAATAATTAATTTAAAAAATACAAGGTAAAAATATTACTACTTAAATTTTATCTTCATAACAAAAGGTAAATATTAAAATCAATAATGTTCCTTTTGAAAAGGAAAGGATCAGAATTTTACAATCGCCCTCTCATTCAGTGTGTGATTTGTTTAAGGTTTTTCTCCCAAAACAAAGAATATTATTCAAGTCATTAGATTTGCTTTAAATTCTTTCCCTTTTTTTTAGCATTTAAAATTTTCTTTTCTCCTTACAATAAATTAACTTGTTAGCCTCTTATATTTTGGAACAATTTTTTTTAGAGACTTCTTATATTATGGAGTCCTATGAAATTTTCAATTGTTTTCAATAATTACGTTCCTCCTTAAATTGGAAACATTAATATATAGTTTTTTCGCATTTAAAAAACATATGTCTATATTTGGAAATGACAAATAAATTCTCTTGATTTTTTTACATAATATTCATTTATCTGTGCCAACTTTTTTATTATATTATTAAGAAGGAAAATGGTAAAAAAGACCGTTAAAATAAAAAAATTATAAATCGGGACCCATGATAATATTATAATGGGTTTTGATGATAATTTTTGTGAATGGGTTTTTTTTGTGCAATTTTTTTATTTTAGCGGTCTTTTTTATGACTTTTTCTATTAAGAATTTTTTTTTGAATGATTCTATTAAGAATTCAAACTCTAAACTTCTGCCCATAATCATCCCATTTATTCACATGAATTTCGAAAATAAAAAGTATACTGAAATTCTTTTTAAAAATTGAAAAAATGATTTTAAAATTTTAAAGAAAGACAATAATATGGTTGTAGTTAGGTTCCCAAAATCCGTAACTGCTTCCAAACACCTGCTCTGATTGAGAAAGCTGGTCAGAGCCAAAACCAAATTCCCAGGCTTGGCGCGCCATGTGGTGTCCCATTACTCCATTAAATGCGATTCTTCAAGTCTGCATCAAATCAACTGAAACCACTCTTAATTTCGGTTGTTTTTCGCTCATCTACTTCACCTACATCGATTCCTTTCACCATAAATTCGATTCCCTTCTTCTTCGTCTTCTCCAAACTTCGCCATTATCACTACCTTTCACTCCTTCTCATGCAAAGCTTCTTCCCCATTGTTTGAACTTTTATTCACTGCTTTTTTCTCTCTGTGCCCGCCATTAGACTCGCCTCTCTTAGAATATGGAGTCCTGTTTTATCGAAAAGCTGAGAACTGATCACCCTTCCTTGTTTTTTGTGCTTTTCGCATTGGGCTCCCTTTCGCTTCTGAAGTTTTCGCTGGCTTTTGTCAGATGGGTTTATGTCAATTTTCTCAGGCCTCCCAAAAATCTAAAGAAATATGGAGCTTGGGCACTCGTTACCGGACCCACCGACGGTATCGGGAAGAGTTTTGCATTTCAGTTGGCTCGCAAAGGGCTTAATCTTGTCTTGGTGGGGAGAAATCCTGATAAGCTGAAGGGGGTGTCCGATTCGATTCTTGCCAAGTTCGGGAAAATACAGATTAAAACTGTCGTGGTTGATTTCTCTGGCGATCTTTCGGAGGGTATAATTAGGATTCGTGAGGCGATTGAAGGACTGGATGTGGGAGTGTTGATTAATAACGTGGGAATTTCGTATCCTTACGCTAGATTTTTCCATGAAGTGGATGATGAACTCTTGAAGAATCTGATTAAGGTAAATGTTGAGGGTACTACAAAGGTCACACAAACTGTTCTTCCCGGCATGCTTAAGAGGAAGAAGGGAGCAATAGTAAATATTGGCTCTGGAGCAGCCACTGTGATTCCTTCAGATCCCCTTTATTCTGTATATGCAGGCACAAAAGCGTGAGTTACTTGACTGTTTCACTCCAAGCAATAACGGCTTATTATGTTTGGTTACTTGATGGCAAAATAATATTATGTTTTGTTCCTTTTTTGATATGTTGTGTGCCGTTTGCTGAAATGAGGTGTTCTGATTGTTTCTTCAGGTACATCGATCAGTTTTCGAGATGTCTCTATGTTGAGTACAAGAAGAGTGGGATTGATGTGCAATGCCAGGTATCGTTTGTTCTCTTCTTTATGATCTTCTTTCAGACGCACATCTTGATCATGAATTTCGAGTACTTGATTGTTTCTCTTGATTTGATTCATGCATTTTGAGTACTAATTTACTGGCTACTCTTTAATGGTTTCTTTCATTGTTTAAATTTTTTATTGCTTTCAAGATCTTCATATACTTTCTTTATCCCTTCAAATAACCCCATTTAGCCAAAATTAAGAAAAACATTACCCTGTATCAGAAGTGGACTTTGTTAGAGGTTATCTTCCATCCCTGTTAGAATTTCCATAATGTGCTATAGGTGTGTTAACAATACTAAACCATTTCCTATACTTCTCTGCCTTGTATTCATTAGCAACATATTGATAAAGAGTTAATACATCCATCATAGATGTTTTCTAGCCTCAATCATTGACGATGTTGCGAACAGGAATTATCTTCAGACATGTTCTCCAATGGCAAATGATTTCAATCATAAACAAACATTTAATCACCCGTCTATATATTCCTGAGCAGACTGTGCATCATCTAATGTGATTATCTTTTATAAATTGAATCTATGTAAATGTCCTGGGATCCCATCTAGTTATTTTCCTCTCGTTTTCTCCATTTTCAAATTTTCTCTTATGATTCTATTAAGCCGTTTAGAATAACTTGTTTGAAATGATTTATAAGTAGCTTTTTAATTGTGATTCATGAAATATGACGTAAGCATTTGAGAAGAGTTTTGTTTCGATTTGCATAAAACGTGTTTATAAGTTCTTAAGATTATGATCATGATTCCCAACTGGCCTTTATATCGGTTTGGGTGTTGGTGACCTGAATATGTAAGCTGCATATGAAAGGGGCTGCTTCTTTAATTAGCTGACCATGCATGTGCAGAATAATCTGCCATGCTTCTGATACATAATTTCTGATAGAAAGATTCTGGAATACTCAGGTTCCATTATACGTGGCAACGAAGATGGCATCAATCAGGAGGTCTTCATTCTTTGTGCCATCAACAGATGGATATGCAAAAGCAGGCTTGAGGTGGATAGGATATGAACCTCGTTGCACGCCATACTGGCCTCATTCCCTTCTCTGGGCATTAACATCTTCATTGCCTGACTTCATTATTGATACTTGGCGCCTTGGTTTCTGCCTCGGTATCCGCAAGAGAGGCCAATTCAAAGACTCAAGAAAGAAGGAATGATTGATTTGAGTGTGTTCATTGTTATGATAAAGCATGTTCTTCTCCCTTTCTCCTTTCCTCAAGAATGATGATTAGGACATTGTATCTTTCAAATGGTAGTTATATGTTTCTGTTTTCATCTTACTGTGTTTGTGGATTGTGAATGATCTATATGGTGGATTTGAGGAGAGATTGAAGGGAAAAAATGAGTGTAATGACAGAGTTGAGCCCCCATATAATCACATTCATCAATATCTAATTTAACAATTTATACTTGTTTCTTTTTAATGTAATATTATAATAATAGTTAACCGTTCAATTTTTTAATCTTAAAGTGGAGATGGGATGATGAGGGGAAGTCCAGATTTCCATGCAAAGATCCAGGAATGGTCAAAATGGAATTTTTTGAGTTAAAAGAATTGGAATGATTGATTTCTGGCTTGACCCATTCCCTTCGCATCAATTTATAAATTTTGTATAAAGATGAATCAATAATTCAATTCTCAAATAATTTATTATTTAAAATTAAATCCCTCAAATATAATTAAAATTCCTCAAATTGCAATTGTTAATCAATATTTACAATTCATTTAAAAAAAATTTTTTTTACCAAAACTTAGCCACAATTAAAGAGAAAATTAATTTGTTCTTATAATTTTGGCTGAATTGTAACTCAATCTTTAAATTTTAATTCGATACAATTCAATTTTTATAATTTTAATCATTTAAAGCTTTAACCTCCGGTTATAATTATAAGAATCAGTTGACTAATTTGAAAAGATTAAGAAAGTAAGTTGAGTTAGTTCTTTGTTCTAAATAGGTGTTGTCTTTCCTAAAATATCCTTGCTAATCAAGTGTATTGACTAGAACTATCATTGTTAGAAGGGATATTTTGAAAAAAATGTATAAATATGAGAGAAAGTGATTGGGATCTTATACTACCTCTGGTCTTAATTATAAGAGCCAGTTGACTAATTTGAGGAGATTAAGGAAGTAAGTTGAATTAGTTATTTGTCCTAAATATGTGTTATTTTTTCTAAAATATCCTTGCTAATCAAGTGTATTGACTGGAACTATCATTGTTAGAAGGATTGCTTTGGAAAAAATATATAAATATGAGAGACAAAGTAGATTGTGGTCTTATATTTAGAATTAAAATAAAAGTCAAACATGGTCTTATATTAAGGACCGGAGGTAGTATTTAGGACAAAATAAAAGTCAAACAGGTCTTATATTAAAGACCGGAAGTAGTATATAATCTTATTTTTTAAATTATAGAGACAAATATTTCAAATGACTAAGTTATGGACACTGAGTTGTCTACTTGTTTTACCGGGCTACGTAAGTCAAATATTTTTAAATGATCAGATTATATATTTGTTTCTCTTTGTTTTGTTTATGATTTATGAATACCAGCTTTTCATTCAAAAATAAAAGTTCAGGAATTAAATTATTGTTGAGCGAAAATTATAAAAATAAAAAGATTTATTACTCGTTCCGCTCGTGTGTTTCAGGCCCACATATAAATGTAAAAACTAAAACCTTCCTTCCCTTGCCGCCAATCCATAAACCCCAAACCGGACCTCCGCCCTCTGAATGGCTCTTCAGAGTTCAGCTTCTGACGGCGACGGCAAGGCCGATCGCTACACGGTCTTCATCGATACAAACCTCGACACTCACCTGGCTATTATCGCTTACGACGCCGACACTGTTTCTGATCTCAAAAGTAACGCCCTTTTCTCCTTTCTCATTGTCATCAATCTGTTCTTCCCTTAAACTTTGGGTGGTTCTCTGTTCTCAATGATTTTATTCTGCATTTCTTTAATATGAAATTAATTTCAATAAACTAAATTTATTCTGCATTGAGCGTTGGTTCTTGTGTTTACCTCTCTCCCTCTCCCTCTGCTTGGGGGGGGGGGGTTGCCAGCCTTTGTATGAGATTATGGATGAGTTATATCGAGTTGAGTTGTAAATACTTTTTAAGAGTTGAGAGCTATTACGAGCTGCGTTATAAAGACTTACGAGTTACGGTCACCCAAAATGGTGAACCCATGAAGTTGACTTTGTCTAGCTCTGCGCTCTGCATAAGTTGTTAGACACACTTCCATCTATTCTCTGTGCCTGGACATAGGATTATGTTAGCATGGCATGACTTATGTGCTCTTCTTTTACTGTTTGTATAAGTTATGACCTGTTCAAATAATATGTGCCTGCCGTTGGTATGCAGAGAGAATTATGTTGGAACACCCATTGTGCTTTCCAAAGATCGGACACATACAGATCCATGCCATAAAGGTATGCTTCTTGGTCCTATTCCACTGTTGTAAGCATGGTTCTGACTAAATCATATTATTAACAAAACTTTCTACTATGTTAGGTAAAGCGCAAGGGCTACTTTTATCACCTATCAGATTCCATGATGGTGAGAAGTGCCTTTAATGGGTTCAACAGGAGCTGGTTTCTTAGTATTGATGCATCTGCAGTAACAGAGAATGAAAAACCCCAGATTTCAGATTCTCCTGATTCTACTAACGAGTTAGCTTGTCATGGCATTGCAAATAATGCTTCAATTGGTGCTATTGATATTCCTCTCCGTTATCCTTCTAAAAGGGCATCTGACTTCAACTGTTTCAAATTGCCACAATTAGAGAACGGACACGGTGAAAAGGAAGTTCCTCTTGTTAGCCCACGTGTGTCAGAACATAGTGGAAAAGGGGTTGTTGATGAATTGGAGACAGGTGTCAAACTCTCTGGCGCTGGTGACACTCTGCCAACTGGTTTGATTCCCGCATGTGAGGGAGATGGATTCAGCAAAGGAAATAAAGATGAGAACAATTTATATGATGAAGGAACCTTAAAACCTTTGCCAGGTGCAAAGAAAAAACGCAAGAGTATTGAGGAAAAGGAAGACACAGTACAGGAACATGCTTGTAAGGACAATAATGCTTCTGTTCTGGGACCTGGTATATCAACAGCTGAGCAGGAAGGTAATTTAGTCGCTGAAAACCCTTCAGAGAATGCGAGCAGAGGTGAACTAGGTGGGAATTCAAAGAATACAAGTTTTGTAGTACAGATGTCAAATGATGCAGTTAAGGAAACTGAAGCTCCAAAGGAGCATGCTGAATGCAAGGATAACAGTAAGGAAAACATTGATGGTGAGTATGTCAAGCCCATGGCAGAGCCTTCACGTGAATCTACTGTAAGTAAAAAATATAAGAAAAGAAAGGGATCCTTGACTCTTGATTTAGAAGATGAGATGCAGAAGGTAGACGATGCATGTCAGCAGGCTGATGTACACAGGCCTGATGAAGAGGAAAAGAAAATTGAAGAACCAAGTGAACAGGTTGAAACTAACAATGATAAATCTGGGGGTAGGATTGAATTTCAGCATGATAAGGTATCTAAAGAACCTTCACATGCTGGATCTCCTGCAAAGAAAAAGCGGAAGGGAAAAGAGAGGGGTGGTTTTCAGAGTGCTTTGAAGGAAAAGAGATCTTTGGTTGATGATTCTAATAAAGAGAGCCTGAAGCCAGAGCATGCATCTCAGCACTCTTTGGAGGATTTACCAAAGACTATAGATAGCATTGCTGGCCAATCAACGGAGCAATGTGGTGATGCTGAGCCACCGAGAACCAGTGTAATAACTTCAAAGAGGAAGAGGAAGAAGAACTCATCAAATAATCAAACAGACGCAAGTACTTCCAGGAATGATGATGCAGAGGATTCCAGGATATATGGTGAAGGTGTGCAGGAGGAAATACTCAAAGACGGTCAAATCTCTAGAGGTGCTTATACTTGGTGACTGCTTTGGAAAGAAGTCTGATGCAATTACTTTATTTGAGAGGAATCTAGAAATTAAAAAAAGGACATTTTTATATAGATAAAAGAAACTTAAAAGTTGAAATATATGTTTCTGATTCTAATGTTAACTTTTTTGCTTTTGTAGGTAACAGTGCCAGTAAAAATGCTGGTGACAACTCGGAAATCATAACAAACACAGCCAAAGAAGTCACTATGTCTAAAGTGACAAGAACAGGAAATTCTAAGGATCATTGTTCCATTGATGTGAGAATGCATCCTTCTGATTTGGAGGGGACAAAGGAACTAACTGAGGGTAACGGCCTCCACATGCATCAGAAGGTTGACCTTGGCCATTGTCATTTAAGTGATGATAGTCAGACTGTGCCGGCTGAAGAAGGAAGAAAACCATCTCCATTAGATGATCCTAAGCATTTGTTGTCTGAAAATTGCATGACAACCAACCATAATAAAGCGCATGCTAACATCATAGGGTTAACCGAGACTTCAGAGGTTCCAAAGGAAAATGAAACTACTGAATGTGGAAAATCAGAGAGGAAGAGAAGGAAGAAAAGAAATGCCAAGGATGCAGATGGAGGATCTTTACTTACAGAAGACTTTAGTCATGTAGATGCTTCTAAGAATGGTACTGTTTTAATGGAATTGGATCCTACCTCTGGAAAGACAACGAAAGAGGAAAATCTTTTAAATCAAACAGCAGGGAAAGAGGTACATCCAGAAGAAATGAACGGGACTTCAGATATTGATAAGGAAGTAGATGACATTAACGTTGGCTCCATGAAAAACATCAGCAAAACTGAAGCTTATGGTGAAAATCTGAGTGAGAAAAGGAGCAAGAAATCAAAGAAGAAACAAGCTTCTACCACAAAAGGTGTGCCAGAAATGCCAACAAAGGATCAAGTTCTTGAAGAGTCATCACCCGCTTCTGACAGCAGACTAACTATGGAACTGACATCTAAAAAGAAAAAGAAAAGCAAGTCCACTAATAAATCAAGTGGACCAATTTTGGAACATGAGAGAGATGTTCAAGCTGAACCTCCCCATACTTCATCAAATGCGCCCAAAGGAAATTACAAATCCCATTCTGGAGCTAATGAAACTGCTATAAATTCAGTGTCTTATTTTGAGCATGAAGATGATAACCACTTGAAAACTCCCACCAAAAAGGACGAGATTAAGGGGGAACAACATATTGCATCTGGGCGAGAGGAGCATAAAGATGTATCAGATGATATTCTTGTTAACAAGAATGGTGCAGATAGAACAGATATGGAGCCAATGACTGGAAAGGGCAGAAAAATGTGCGAGGTAATGAAAAGAAATACTCGTAGTGGGAAATTGAGCTCTGCAAAGAAATTATTGTCGAAGGTGGGCAATGGGCTTGGGATTGATCCTGATGAGAAGGATCCAAATGTGTGCAGAATTGGACAAGAAGCTTCCTTGCCTAGTCAGTCTAATAGTGTCACGTCCACCATTGAAGAAGATAAAAGGCCTCAATTTAAGAAATCTTCTGGGAAAAGTATGAATTTGGAGAAAAATAGTGAAGCTTTTCCTGTATCAAATTGTAAAACCAAAGCCGTAAAGAAAATGGTTCAAAATAAAGCTCGAAAAGCTTCTGGGAATAATCCTGAGGGAGTGGTGAGTCAAAAAGAGCAAAAGAAGAAGTTGTTGTCGGGTACAATTTTCAAGGATGATAGTAGTGGAACCTCTGAAGACAGAGATGAACAAGCTCATGACTCTAGTTCCAGCACTAGAAGTCCATCAGATGTTTCACTCCCGCCTGATTACTCAGGTGATGATAGTGATGCAGGTGTGAATTCTATACAAAGTATAAACTGATTTTTTTTTTTTGGTTTGGGAGTCTTTCTGTCTGTCGACTGTCTGTATGCGGCTGGGTCCTGAGCGGATCATGGAGGAATAGGTTGAAAATTCAATGACGTCTGGTTTTGGGAATTCTTAGGTTAATGTGCCCAAGGTGTTACTTTCTAAGTTGAAATCAGAGGTAGAAAGTTAGCATTGATTTCTAAAAGTTTTCCAACTAGTCAGAAAGTGCTTAGTATTGATCTCTGAATTATATGTTGTTCCATCGTTTTTTTTTTTTTTGGTTTACGAAATGGATCTTGTTCTATTTCTGTTTTAGAATTTTGATGGGTACGGTTTGGATGGCAATGTTGGAGCAAAGTCCCCCCCACCCCCCCCCCCCAAAAAAAAGGAAAAAAAAAAAAAAAGGGGGAAAAATATCTTGAACAAAATATTAGTACAGCTTCATTCTTGGTTTTCTTCATTTCTTCATAGGACTGATGATTACGGGAACTCAAACTAATCTCTTTTTTTTAAAAAAAAAAAAAAACTAAATTGCAACAGGTTCACATGGCAGGACAGGACCGGAAACTGGTGGAGAAAGTAGCATGAAATCACGGTTAGTTAGTTAATTGCAAGCATGCAGCTAAAAGTTGGCAGTCTTACACGATTGAATGGCTATTTTCCTCAATAAATCTTTGTGTTTTTTATTTACTTGTTTTTTTGACACGGAAGAAAAGCACATGCAAGTATAGCATGTTGGGTCATCATAAATTTCTACCATCCATAATCTCTGTTAATCATAGCCTCAATTTGCTTGGTCAAGATTATGGTGCTTACGTGCTATGTGGATGACTTATTCAATCGAATGAGCTTTTCACATATTCTCAGTGTCTCAGATCATATTGTTTTCCTAGCGTTGGGCTGGGTATTTGCAGTAGATATTTGTTCCTCCGCCGTAATAAAGAACAATATATTAATATATTTTAGGGGACAGAACTGTTGAATTTTTTTGCCATAGAATTAAGTGTGAAAAGTTTACGCATCATTTCGAGTTACATCATCTACCCTTCTCAGTCACCGATAGAATCTGATTTTACCGAGTCTTTGAGATCATCTGCACTAAAATCAAAATCTACTAAAGTGTGAATGGTGTGATTTTATTTAGGGTTAATATTATTGTTAACCCTAAATATTTTTGGTTCCTGTAGTTTCAAATTGTTGGTTTTAGTCGCTATAGTTTCATAAGGACTTGGTCTGAATTTAAGTATAGGGACAAAAATCAGACTTTATTAAAAGTATAGAGACTATTCGGTAAATTCAGATCAAATCCTCATGAAACTATAAGCACCAAAACCAACTATTTGAAACTATAGGACTAAACCAAAATTCAAACTGTTAAGAACTAACAATGTTATTAATCCTTTTATTTTATTTGCAACTGTAATTGATCAGGAATTTGTGCTAGAGTCAAGATTCTTGAAACTCTTCCTAACTAGATTCTTAACCTCTATCTTTTACATGTTGTTCCTTTATACATTATGCCCTTGAGTAGGTGTTTTAGGGAATTTGCATTGTTGTGTTTTTCGCATACTTCAGAGCGGTATCTGAATCTTTACTTTGGCAGCTTGTCAGTCAAAAAAGGAGTGCCCCTAGATAGCATTCTTAGAAGCTCAAGCAGGTATAAGATGGCTAAACAGACGGCCTCTCAGTTTGAAGAAAGTGAAAGTCAACCTGTTGATTTTGTTCCAGACAGCCAGGCAAACACATAAATGTTGAGATTCCTGTCGTTCTTCGTTTGCTGCTACCGGTGTTTTCTCTGTATTTTCATTGCAGCTACAAGATTTGGCTCATATGTTGGATCATGTAAGAAAAGCCGCCAAAAACTCTTTCTTATGCTGGAGAGAATTTCCTCTTGTCTCGATTCAGCATAGAAAATTTTGTTTTGTTTAAACTCTTCAGACACCATCATGGGTCGATTTTGTGTCTCATTGTTGTGCCAATGGGAACAGATATTTTGGTTTAAATGTACTGAATATAGGTAGAAGGGGATGTGGTTTAGGCTTGGAAGAACTGTTGAATGACAATGCGAAAATGACAATATTTCAAGATTCTGTTAACCCGAAAGTTCCAGAGACCTCTAGTCTCGTCCCTTAAAAGTTGTTAAATCCCTTCATTTAATTGGAGACCCAGGCCTAGGGAAAAAAAAATATATATCTTTAGACCGAATCCGAAAGACTCATCCTTAAAATAAATATTATTTTGTAATTTTTGAATCCTATGTAGTGGCCGAAAGAATTTCTAAACATGCACTGTTAATTTTTTAATTATATAATAGACTTGATAAATTTCAATAATTTTTTAAGAACATTAATTAGAATTTAAGAGCAATCGTTAAATTAAACACATGTTGACAGCTTGAAATGGAAGAGTAGAACTTGTCACTTCTCATGTATTTCTTGCTGGTTATCTTTTTTCCTTCTGCACCTTATCCTACGCGCATCCGTGCATCATGTCTATTAAGAGCCATTGCTGGTATATGAAGGATTAATGGCTCATGTAGTTGGATTACAGGAATCAACATTATCTGCTAATTTATTTGGGTGATGCAATGACAGCTGATTCATTTAGGCGATCCATGGTACTTCGTTTGCTTTTTACTTTTCAATTAGAAAAAAAGATACGACTTGAGATTATAAATGGAATTAAATTCACCGGCTTCGACTTCCCACTTGTAACTTTTTTTTAATCACTAGACTCGAAGTGATTCATGATTCTTGGTTGGCTTTAGTAATGACAAAGGGATTACATCATGCACTCTAGATTCCCTCAAATTATTGCATTGTTTACATAGCTGGACCTCAAGAATGAAGATCATACCAAAAGACATTCATGCCCTTGATAGAAGGAGCATGTTATCTTACTCCACAAGGTTAAATAAATGACAAGAAAGTTAAAAAGGGTAGTAAGGCTATAAGAGGTTTTTCTTCCCAGAAATTTGAACATCATACTGTTATCTCTAGATCTTCTTTCTATAAGAAGGCATCGCTGCGTCTTTATGATCAAAATCTCAATTCCAAATGGAGCCACAGTTCATGACATAGAATTATATCATGCATGAGCTAGAGTTAAGCCAATTGAGGAATCAACTATGGTTATTCAAGTTCAACATAATCATTTAAACAACTTCAACATTAAAAATTACTATCGAGGTGATCTATGGATCCCGTTGACCAGTCATATTGTTGGCTGTAAAGTGCATATTATTAGAAGCAAAGGCTAAATCCTTGGCACTGAGGAACCAAAACAAAAACAAGACACATTGAAAAGTTGATTCACCATTGAGTTACCTTACAATACAAGTCACAGAAACGAAACTGTATAATTTATACATTCCACAAAAATCCCCTACCACCATCACCATCATCATCATCAACACAAACCAAAAACTCACTGAGATCTCATCCTGTTGAGCTGGTTCAGAGCAGGCTGCAATATGTTATACAAAACCCACAGAATCGCTGGTGCCACCACAAACAGTAGAAGCTGACCCCTGTTGTCACTAGCAGCTTCAGCAATGGATGCCACCTCAGCAGCCGAACTCTCCGGGGTCCACCCCAAGAGCCCAGACCCCACCAACCCACCGAGCCCTAACCCAGCGATCACTCCCTTGGAGCTTCTCATCCGGTTCAGCTGGTTCAGTGCTGGCTGCAGAATGTTGAACAAAACCCAAGCTATGGCCGGGATTATGGGTAGCAACAGAGCTGCCCCTCTGTTATCCCCTCCATCTGCTATTTCAGCTATCTGTTGGGCTGCCAGAGCGGCGTCGGAGCTGCTCAGGGCGGCGAATACTGCCCCGGCAATGGCGGTTCCTGCGAGGGTAGGTGATGGGTTTGTGGGGACGGTGGTGGTATCGGAGGTTAGGCCCTTTGGGAGGTTTTGAAAAGACAGGAGAGGGGTGGGTTTAGTGGCCAGCCTGGTGGGGTTAGGGAGTTTCGGTGAATTGAAGCATTTTGCGCTGGTCATGGCCATTGCTGCTACGGTTGCTGCCATTGATGGACCTGTGAATCAAGCTTGGTGCTATGAAGATGATGGATGATAAACTTGAGTGTTTCTCTCTCTGTGATAATGCAGGAATTGCAGAGAATGAATGGAGGAAAGTCGAATATTGATTTATTTGGTGAAAAAAAAGCTAAGGCCAGGTGTGAGAAATGAGATCCAATAAAACTGAGGTTTGTGGATTCTTTCCTTATCCGAATAGTGTGATTGGTGAGCTAGGAACCTCACATCCTCCACCCCACCCTCCCTTTCTTATCCCTTTTGTTCCAGCGTGACATTGTGCTGCTTCGTACTGGGTTCTGGAAACGACGTTAAAAAGACAAAAGAAATTAGAGAAACGACATGTCGTTTGCATAAACACAAACGAATTGGGCGCCCATTTTTGGACTTCTCTTCACCCCCAATGCTTTGAGCCCAAATCAATATCAGGCCTCGTTACCTGACTTTTTGGGAATAAAGGGATTTGTTAAGCGTAGTGGAAGAAATAGTCTCTTTGATGAACTATGATTCAAATTTATATTGGAAGAAGCATTTATATTTAATATCTAGTAGTGTTTTCAACAGGATTATTTCTAATAAAAAAACATATGCCTTAAAAAGAGACAATAATAATATGTAGCCCATCTTTTTATATATGATTTTAAAAAATTAAAATTAAAATACGATATAATATGTATGATTTAATTGAGTTATTTGAATTTATGGGTACAAATTATCAGATTAATTACTACTGTTGAAATTAAATTTTTTTATTTTTAAAGATATAAAATATTCTAAGAAATCAAAATAGGTTTTCATGATTTCAAGGGCATTTACTTTTTGAGAAAATAACATAAAAAGAAGTTAAAAATTGTGATATTCCAATTTAGGTATATAAGAGGTCAAAATCCAGGGAGAGGAAAGTGGTACCTGATTTGATATTTTATAAATATAGTCAAATAATTAAAATATTCTCGTATCAGATTTTTTTTCTTTAAAAATAAAAGCTATCAAACTTGTTATTGTTAGTGTATTTCTTGTTATTGGTTGTTCATCACTTATGATTGCTTCTGACAACTTATTAATAAATAACTTGTCATTGCCAGTACATTTCTTATTATTTGCTTTTAAACACTTGTTATTGTCAGTTCACAATTTGTTAATAAACTTTTTAATATACAGACATTTTAACCTCTTAAGTGCTTGAATTTGAATATTAAAATTTTTAACTATTTTTTATGTTATTTTCCCTTTCTTTTTAATCAATGGACTTGAGACCCATATTGCTGTGGAAGAATAGATAAAATATAATCATGACAAAAAAAAGTCAACGTTGACAGCATTTTGTTCCTCTAAATGAATCTGGACTCCCAATTATAATCTCAACAGTTTGGGAGATTATTTTAGGCTTTGTATACTTCTCAACTAAAGAAAAAGTATGGTTGACTTTTGATTTCACTTTTTCCATTTGCTTGTGTCGTTCTTTGTTCTTGATAAAAAGTTCATGTAGGGAATGATGACTATATTAAACCTTACATTAGAACCCCCTAACCCAGATATATTTATCTTTTATTTGGGAAAAACTATATTTCTATTTTGTGAAAATTAATTTTTTGGTCCTGTGATTTTAATTCGGTTGCAGTTCAGTTCTTAATTTAAATTTAGTTGTAACTCAATTTTTAAAATTTAATTAAATACAACTCAGTTTTTATAATTTTAGCCATCTAAAATTTTAGTCCCTAAATTTAATAAAATATTTAATTTAATTATTTTAATTATATGAACTAAACTTTTAAATGTTTAAACATATATGGATTGAATTGTATCAGGACAAAATTTAGGAACTGAATTAAACCTATAAAAATTGAGTCCGAGTTCAAATTTAGAGATTGATTTAAAAAAACATAAGAGCCAAAAGCTTAAATTTTCCTTCTATTTTAACATAAAGCTAGGGGGCCATCTATTCTAACATTGATGAAGGGAAGGGAAGGGAAAATACACACTAAACCTTTTTTTCCCCAACGAAGTATACACTGAACTTATTTATAATTAAAAGATAATATAACATTTGAAAATAATTTGGTGATTTCAAGACTTCTTGTATTTTGAATTGTGCGAGACTTTGGCAGTGATTTTTCTTTTTGAGATTGTAGCATTAGATTTTGCATAAAATTTTTTTCTCATTATCACAAATCCAGCCACCAAAGGAGATGGTAGTGTTTTTTTTTTTTTCCCCAAGTACAGTTAGACATTAAATATAAACAATTATTTTAGCAAGATTTAAATTTTAATTTAGTGTTACGACTAATCCCATTGACAAGGTGATGGTAACGTTACATTTACATATCATAAAAATGGGTGGGTGTGTGTGGGGTGTGTGGTAGGGGTTCGATCCCCTCTCTTGTAACCGAAAAAAAAAAAAATGGAGTGATGCGAATGGCCGAATGGCCTGATAGCACCAAAACACTTCTTGCCTCTTGGAAAACGTGGTTGCGGGTTTGAGATGGGCAAGTAAGCATGGGCGTGTGAGTTTAAATTTCGAGTTTGAAAGAAAAACTTGAGATTCATGTCTTAAATCCTGCGAAGCATGAATCTTATGTTTTTAATCAACAACTGTCTTTTTTTCATACAAAAAAGTATAGATAAATTAGGAGCCGAAAGTTTATTAGGATCAAAATATGCCTTTAAATTTATAGAGTATTTACAGAAGTATTTACAGATTATGAGAGTGTTTGGCAACATCTAAATCATGGTTTCAGAAGCACTTTTTCGTAAAACGAGACAAATTCCTTCACATATTTACTTCGTAAATCGTAAAAGCACTTCTGAAACCATGGTTTAGTTTCCATCCAAACACTCCTATTTACTGACAAAATCCTCACATCACAACGGATTCAAACTTATAACCTTATGAGTTATAAGCTAGTTCTTTACAAATTATAATCATTTTTATTGGTATTATCAACAATTGTTAAACTTCTTGAATTATTCAATTGTGGGAACTACTCTCATACGTCCAATATGAATCCGCGTTTGAAAATCATCAATCAAATTGTGAACTTGAGGTCAAATAAGAAAAACTAAATTGTGAATCACATTTTGTAAAGACTAAAATAAAAAAAGAAAGAGCATTTCTACATTTGTTCTCAAAAAGGATATTTCTTGTCAAATGAAAGGAGATTTTTTTTCCTGTTAATATTTGTCTTTTCCAACTTTCTTCTCTCTCTTGGCACCGTCCTTACCAAATTTACAAGTTCTAAAACCCAGAAACTCTGGAAAATCCAATATTTGCGCTCCAGAGATACCACACAGACAAAAAGCACTCAAATGCAGCTATAATTCTGTGCTTTTACCTCCATGAATGAATCTCTCTTTTCCTCTCCTCTGCTTCGTCTTCCTCACCACAGGCATCAATAAGTAGTAGTTCATAGCTAGGGTTTTTCTCTTATTCTTCTTTGACCACATGGCGACTCTTGTGCTATTCGCGCCGAACGCAACCTCTTCGCCTTTCTCTTACCGGCCGAACTCTAGGACTAGCCCTCTCCTTCATCGGCCTCACCACCACCACAATCTTTCCCGTTCCGGGAACTTACTTGGACGTTCGCTTTCCGTCACGAGGTTCGCCTTCAAGCCTGGTTTTCTACCTGAACCTCATGGCGCTGAGGACCTGGTGAAGGACTTGCTTAGTCGAGCTGACGCTTTTCTGTACACTATTGCCGACGCTGCTGTTTCATCCTCCGATACGGTGACTACCACTGCCAAACAGAACAACGATTGGCTTTCTGGTATTACCGGTTATATGGAGAGTGTTCTCAAGGTTTGAACTCCGAGTTATTCGACTTTACTGAATTTGCTGTCCTCGTAATTGTGAAATTTGTTGTATTGGAAGCATCAATTGAATAATCGACAGAATAACTGAGCTTAATCCAATAGTTTGAAAGGCAGTTCGACATTTGCCTTGTCTATCTGTTTCTTGTTGTTATTTTCAAAGAAGGAATCTTGGGTTCCCAATGATGACTTTAGGTGGCTCTTCTGACATTAAACTGTAATTCTCTTATGAATCTGTTTCTGCAATCCCCCGTGATCTGTTGTCATGGTCCGATACTTATGTTGAGAAGTAACTTGAACTTTCAGGTATTGAAGGATGGGCTTTCTGCCTTGCACGTACCATATGCGTATGGTTTTGCCATTATACTCCTTACAATTCTCGTTAAGGCTGCTACATTTCCATTGACAAAGAAGCAGGTTTGTCCATGTTGAAATATAAAGCAATGGTGTTGATTTGCTGAACTTGAGTAATTTCATATTTATCATCATTTCATAGTATAAACTTGAATGGCATTGTACAGGTAGAATCTTCCTTGGCTATGCGGTCTCTGCAACCTCAGATAAAGGCTATTCAGCAACGTTATGCTGGTGACCAGGTATTTTGTTTGGCTTCTTTTACTTTCTCAAATGTAACATATTTCATAATTATGATATCGGGAAACGCCTTTTAAAAACTTTGGGATTTTCCATTGAAACCTAGTGAACATGGAAGCTTTAAAGTGACCTAATTTTTGTTTTTATTAGGAAAGAAATGAAGTGGCTACTATACTGCGTGCTAGAATTTCTTTCCTATGACTTCTTTTGATAGCATTTCAACAAACTACCAATGTGATCTTGTCAATCCATATGTCATGCAACCTTTCTTCTTTCAGGAAAGGATCCAACTTGAGACTGCTCGGTTATATAAATTGGCTGGCATTAATCCTCTAGCAGGTATTTCTGAACATAATTTGATTAGAACAAAGTATGAAAAATCAGGATGAGGCTTCCTGTGATTAATTTTGGATCCTAGCTCCTATAACTTTGCTAAAACTATAAACATCATTATATCTCAGATTGGATAGGAACCCTTTGAACGGCTTAGGCAGTGGTTGGCATCTAGCAACACTGTATAAAGCATTAATCTGATGCTCATCAAATTAATTGGTAACTCCTTTTTAAATTTTCCCTTCTCTTTGTTCTAGGATGCCTGCCTACACTTGCAACAATACCTGTATGGATTGGTTTATATAGAGCACTTTCAAATGTGGCTGATGAGGTAGCTTCCTTATAAGTTGATTTGCTATTATATAATCTTCACTTGTTGAGGGAGTTTGTATGTTGCTACTTTCCATGACTGATTTTATATTTTTCTTGATTACGCAAAGGGACTTCTCGCAGAGGGGTTCTTCTGGATACCTTCCCTCGCTGGTCCAACTACAATTGCTGCCCGTCAAAATGGAAGTGGCATCTCTTGGCTTTTTCCTTTTGTGGTATGCCACGTCTTTCGAGGACTTTGGTGTTTATGTATTATGGGTATTTCTTTCAGCTTCATTATCTTTCATCTTCAAATTATCTGAGGTTGAATTGTGATTTTTTTTTAATGAGTTTATGTTTTTAGTATGAGGAATCTTCCTTGTAAGGAACTAATTAATTTAAAATTGGATTGTTTACATCTGATATTTTTTTATATATTTTTGAAGTGCTTTGGGTTGGATCCCAATGCGGAATTTGTTTCATAATGGGTTCCTTTTGCTCTTTCTTTTTTCATTAGGATGGTCACCCACCCCTTGGATGGTCAGATACATTGGCGTACCTTGTGTTGCCTGTATTACTGGTTATCACTCAGTACATTTCTGTCCAAATAATGCAGTCGTCACAGGTTAGTAATGCTGTATGCATAATTCAGTCTGACGGATGCAGGTTCTAAGCTTCATCCTACTTTGAAATGGAAAGAAAAAGAGGTTCCTTTATGTGGGTGCACATTGATGTAGATGAGTTACTCATAATTTTTCATGTTGACTTTCAGCCTAATGATCCCAGCATGAAGAGTTCTCAGGCTCTAACTAAGTTCCTTCCTTTAATGATTGGTTACTTTGCTCTGTCAGTTCCTTCTGGGTTAAGTCTTTACTGGTAAGCGAAAGCGGAAGCCTTTTAGTTTGGCATTATTTCAATCATCTTGTTGTCGCTGCCTATATATTATGTTATCTTATTACAGATTGTTTAAGTTGTGCAGGTTCACAAATAATATATTGAGCACAGCACAACAAGTATGGCTTCAAAAACTTGGAGGGGCCAAAAACCCAGTGATGCAAGTACGTGATAAAACAGTGGATGACAATGTAATGCAAATTCAGAAATCAGTCTCTGAGCTAGAGCCCCCTAAAATAGAGGCCAGTCTAGGTGAGAAATCGACATCAGAGGGACCAAAACCAGGGGACAGGTACATGATTGTAGATGGCCTCATTTTATCATATCGTAGTATATTTTCCACCTCTTATAACATCACTTTACTCCCTTATTTTGCAGATTTAAGCAAATAAAGGAGCAAGAGGAAAAGAGAAGAAGACAGAGAGAAGAAGAAAAAAGGAAAGCTGAGGAGGCAGCAGCTAAAGCAACTGAAGTACACGAGGCAAGGGACAAAAAGACTGAGGTTGGAGATGAGGATGGAGATGATGGAATTGCTGTAAAATCTGATGCTGTGACTGCAAATGATGATCCTTCTACTTCTGGAATTGTTGTGAATGGCAATCCCTCCAGTGAGGGCTTTGGGAGATATCAAAAAGCCACATCTGCATTGCATACAGAAAATAAAGGTTCTGCTGATTACCAGTTCAATGAAAGGAATGAGAGAAGTCTAGAAAAGGTATGATTGTATTGATAAAATTATCCTTTTAAATCTGGCATATGAAACACATCTATATGTTGCAAATGAGCCTGTTGGTTCCTATCACAACGTAGGAGAAGAAGGAAGTTTGGGGGAAGTATCAAACTTTCCCTTACTTTTGTATGGGGTTATAGTTTGATTGGCACCTAAAAAGCGTGCCTAAGTTCATTCAAAGTGCATTGATGTGTCTTTTATTTTGGATAGTTTGCTCTGCAATTTTTCTCACTTATTTGTTCATCATTCTTAGAGTCCCATATCATTCTTTTACCATGCTTTTGAGGTATTGAGATGGTTGAGAATATGGAAGTAGATCAGTATACTAAATTATATTGTATATTAGATTTTGTTACTTTGATGACAGGAATATTTGGAATTTGAATTCTTTTTACTTTTCTTTCTTGATCAAATATGAAACATTTTTATTGCTTTGAAGTTAATATTTTTACAGATCGTACAGTTCTTTTATGGGCATGAATTGCAATATCACAGGAAACAGAAGTATACACACCTGCTGCCACAGACAGCAAGACACCCGTTGAAGACCCAGATCAAGTGACAAAGGACTGAGAAATTGAGAAACCAGAAGATATAGACATTTTACTGTACCAAAATTGACCGGCCTATTTTCCGACTCAAGAAATTTTAAAAACGCACCCTCCTGTGCATTTTGGAATCCTGGTTACTATTGTAAATCAGAGTGATAGAAATGGTAGTCTTATCAAGAGTTAAGGTTTCTATAATTGCAATACGAAAGTGGTTAGATTGGATGGCTGATTTGTAGCTTCGATGTTGGAGTTTTTGTATTATATGTAATTTTTTTCCTTCAGTCGCATGAATAAAAAGAAGGATCAATGTGTCCTTATTAGAAACAGATGCTTCAGATTACCTTAGTCAACTTATCACCTTAAGCATCCTAATACGTGCCTTGGTTTTGATCTTATAGAGAAGATATTATGTTTCAGGAATTTCCATGACTCAAGGTATTGGTCTGTGACATGACAATGGGCTTTTTTTCATAATTTGGCGCAATGTTTTGGGTCATTGACTTGTACTAATTTACACGCTCTGAACTTTCAGGTTTTAGTTCAAGCTCAGCCATGCTCGGGAACTCTGAGGTTAAGGTATTTTTTGAGACAATATCATATAAAAGGAAGCAATGAAGGCTTCCGTAGTTTTAAAGTTTTCTTGTTGGCCAACTCCTTGGTTCTCAAGTTGAATACTTGTTCCTTTTACTGCTATAATTTATGTTCTCCTAATTCACCCTGCGCACAGCCCACGATAACTTGTGGGCGCCTTTTAATTCTTCTTCTTCTTCTTAATATGAAACTCTTGGGGGACCTTTCTGTATCCTATTATTATTTCAGGCTATATGCATTAACTAAGATCTGTTGCTGGTTCGTACTAACTATGGACTAAAGAGCTTTCTCTGGCTATAATGTTTGCTTATCCAAGCATTTAATTGAGTAGCATCTACCAAGAAATTAGAGTAAACCATTTTCGCTTCCTTTATGCAAAAGAAAGAAAGGGCATTTTATTTCCCTGCAAATAAATGCGGAGACTATTGGTCTCATTTCTCTTATTCACAGCCTTGTATTTGGGATCACGATAGCTGTCGTTGGAAGCAGGCGGTTATCAGAGTGTAGGAGCATTGTCGCATCAGACTGCTCTCTCCAATAGGCTCAAAGTTATTTCTCTTCACGTGGATTTTCCCAGCTTCACCATTGATAAGTGCACGATGCGAACGCAGGTAACCTTTGGAAATCGTACAACTCAGTTGGACTTGTGCATTATTTAATCTTTAACCATTCAGAGAGATTCCATGTCTACTTTAGGAAGGCATATTGAACCTGAATGTCAACTGGCATGCTCCATAATTAAAAGAAGGGATATGATTAGGCCGATGTCTGTTTTTTATCCCATTATTAAATGTTATGCTTTGGGAGAGTAAAGAGAATTTAAGTATAAATTTGGTTAAAGTGTATTTTTAGTCTTTTAATTTTATACAAAGTTTTAATTTGGTTTCTTAACTTTAAAATGTATATTTTTAGTTTTTTAACCTTAGAACTATTGATTAAAAAAAAATAGTGTTGAGATTTTGAATGTTGATAAAATATTTTTCAACGTTAACATATTAAGTCTAATTTTCAAAATAGCTATGATTATTATAAAAAAATTATTATTTAAAAAAACAACTTTAAGATTAAAGATTTAGAAATATATTTTTTTAAAATTAGGGATCAAATTAAAATTATATATAAAGTTAAATAATTAAATATATTATTTTGCATATAAATCATAGAGTTAATTAATCTGTAAGTCTTTATAATTTCAACCAATTTTGAATCAGGTCCTTATAATTTTTTTTCTTTTTATTAGGTCTTTATTCTTTTACATGTTTTTAATTAGGTCTTTGTATTTATTTTTCTTTTTATAAAGTCCTTATAATTTCCCTAAATTTTAATCAGGTCCATGTTCTTTTAATTTTTATTTATTAGTTAAATATAAACTTAATTAATTAGATTACTGAAATATAAAATATTAATAATTAAATTAAATTAATATAAGTAATATAATTAATTAATTCAGATAAATTTTTTAGAACAAATAATATTTTCTTGCTGGCAAAAAATAAAATTATTATAATAATTCATTATTTTTAGAATATTATTGTTTATAAACTAATATTAAATAATATATACTATTTTATGATTATAGAATAGTATTATTAGAATTTATAAAATAAAGAGTAAAAAATTCAGGGATTTAATTAAAAATGAGATGAACTTATAAGGACTTCATAAAAAGAAAAATAAATACAAGGATCTAATTAAAAAGATGTGAAAGTATAAGAATCTAATAAAAAGAAATAAAACTATAGGGACCTGATTCAAAATCGGTTAAAACTATAGGGATTTACAGATTAATTATCCTTAAATCATATTCCATTTGGTTCTTATTATAAGCATGTAATAATTTTGCATGAATTATCTTGTCAATTATAAAAATTACTCAATAAAAATCATCAACTAGAAGAGTTTGGTTCATTAGTTAAGAAGTTGTATAATTGTTTTAAACAAAACATGTTATATTATGAAAATATGTTAGAAGCTCGACAGGAGTGTATATTAATTTTGTTATTCTCTTTTATTTGAGGCAAATATGTAAACTTAATATTTAGAGGATATAAGAGGCGTGTCGAGAGGGATTAGAGGAGTCAAGTGTGGACACACGGATTCTCCATATTGTACCTGAGAATAAAGGAATATGCGCATGATTATTTTATTTAGGGCGAGGCTCAACTTAGCCGAGATAATCGACGTTATTTATCAAATTAAAAGCTTAACACGAACACATAAAGTTTGCCCCCTTGTAGGGGGCGTTTGGTATACTCAAAGCGCTTTCAAAAATTATTTTTACGTAGGTTGTATGTCATAAAATTATTTTCGAAATTATGGTTTAGTTTTTTCTTAATATATCATGTTAAAATATATATGTAAATATATATAAGAATAAAATTCTTAATGGATAATAACAATAATTCAAACACCTGTTTTCAAGGGTTATAGTATAACTGCAACGTCAAGTAATCAAGATAGAGACTTGTGAAACTTGTTTTGATGATATCATCGTGTGGTAAATGCAAAATATGGCATAACAAATCTTTCTCAACACTTCTCTCCTTCACAAGGGTCCCATGGATTGGTTGCTGCATAATAAATAGATGCATGGTGATTTAATTATATAGTTATTTAGTTTCATCTGCTATCCAACATGATTTGCTGCATTGTCTTTTTTGGGAAAAAAATTAGGTAAATTTTTATCTATCACTGTTTCTAATAGTTTTGCCACAGAAATAGATATGAAGATGAAAAGACGTCAATTTCTAAAATTGGCTCTTTAATGGCATAATTGTCGCTCCTCAGTCAACATCAGAAGTCACTGGGGGTCGTCTTTAAAAATATAAATAAATCCTACCAATGATCAAGAAACACGTGTACGGCATTAATTTTATTTCAGCATAATGTAATCCAGTTAAAATAATAATAATAATAATAATAACAGTTGGATTTAGTTAATTGTAGAGTTACCTCTGGTAAAAAAAAAGTTAATTGTAGAGTTACGTATGTTTAAAAAGAACCAATAGAGGGCAAAAATAGCTTGACTTTACCTTCAAACACGTGTCATATGCTACCTAATTTCTGTGTAGACCAATTTAGTTAGTAAAAAAAGGTTTGTTTCTTATAATATATAACATAGTGAACTAAAATTTAAATTTATATTAAATGATATTTCATATTTAGTACTTAACAGTGTTTTAAACATAATTTGTTTCAGCACAAACAAATACTTGTTTATTAAAAAATAATAATAAACAAACAAAACCTTCCATTTACACAATTATAGACTTTTAATGTGTTTGGTATTCTATTGGCTTTGATGAAAACCAGCCACTGTGACATTGCTTTGGCTAAAGTCTAGTTTTTGACCAAAGCCAATGTAATGCCAAGCACATATGTCTGATGCATCATTGTTCTCTCACATGTGCGTGTCGTTCCAAAACAAGTAGGCTCCATTAATTCATAGTTCATACAAACATAACACGTGTCAACTTCGCCCGCATCTCCTCTGTACAGAAACATATGAGGCTAAGCCATAGGAACATGCTTGCTTTCAGTAAACTATATCAAACACTATCCCTTCTCCCCTCATTTGCCATTCTTTTTTTTCTTTTTCATTTTCTATTTAAATGAAACTTGGAGACATACTTAAATCATGGGAAAGTTCCGTTGAAATGTGTGAGATTGGCCTAAGTATTGAAGCCCACACACACACACACTCTCTCTCTATATATATGGAATTCAGAAATTCTTGCATAAATCACCTTTTTATGATAAGGTCTCTTGGCTTGATTCACAGATTAACAAATTATCCAACCCCTGAATTTATTATAACAGAAACTTTCCATCCATTTCTTGTTGGTCAAGCCTATGATGCGTGATTTTTCTGCACGAGAGCATCTAAACCCCATTCTTATCCTTGAAATTCGATACAACCTTGAGAAAAAGAAACATTATAGTCTAAAACATTTGATAAAGGGATAATGAAACTCTTGATCCCTCAAATCTATCACAATCATCAATTTGGTTCCTAAAATTTATTTTTTATCAGTTTTTTTTTTCCTCCTAAGCACACTTACCGAAATCCTAATCGAACTAAATGTGGCCATAAATTCCTAAAGTTTTCTCCACAATTTTATATTCTCATTTGATCTCATCAGAATAGTTTTTTTTTTTTTTTTGCAATTCATGAAGAGGTTGTCATCTTTGAGTTAATGATTAGATAATGTATATTTAGCATTCATTGTTTTCAAATCATAAAGGCTAATTGTGTAACTTTCAAGATTTCATTTATGAAAATCAAATTTCATGGACCGAATTAGGAACCAAAGCAAATGTGAGAGACCAAAAGTTTCATTATCCTTTTAATAAATTTCTTAATTCTTAATATGAGTGTATAATCCTAAGTGAAAGTTTCATTATCCTTTAAATGAATTCCTTAATTCTCATTGGGTGTATATTCTTAAGTGACAAATATTCTATAATAGAGGAAAAAATAAAGCATATACTAATGTAGCCAAAGAGAAAGACACCGATAATGGGAGGAAAAAAAAAAGAGATAATATTAACCAAACGCAAATCTGAAATCAATGGTATAACAATTTTTTTTTTTGGGGTCTGAAATTGTATAACAATTGATGTGAGGAAATTTTTTTCCCGAGGCAGACGGATTGCTTGCGTGTAAATAATGATTATCTTGAGTAACACGTCATCATCGCCTCTGAGAAGAGAGAGAGAGGGGAGCTTCCCATAATAATAAAGCTTAAATTTTTCAATCCATCCACTCACAATAATCTAAGCCTTCCGTTCTCTCTGCCTTTCTCTTCTCTCAATCTCCTTGAAACTGAAACATACCCTCACTTCCAGTTGTGTATATACATATACATAATTAGACATAGATATTAATCGAACACCCTCCTTGCTGCCGTTTAATGATCCAAATTTCGCTACTTTTGGTTAAGAAAAACGTGAATTTCTGTGCAATCGTTGACGGATGCTGACTGATTTTCAGGAATCGTGGATGCCCCTGATATGTAATCACGTTTCCAAGTTTTTTATGCCTCGATCTGTTAACGATCGTAATACACTTATCGCAAACTGTGTTAAAGCGTGTGATTTAGATTCCTTGTTTTCTAATACCCATTTCTCTGGTTGCGTATTCAACAAGTGCACTTGTTGATTAGATTACTGACAATTTTCTGATCTGGGGAAGTTGAAAAAGTGGTTTTCTTTCTGTTTTTTTTCCCGGAAATATTGATTGCAAAATCGATTGCGATTACAATCTCTGTTTCTGGGTTTTTCAGCCATGGAAGACGATTTTGCTAGTTTGGTTGGTTTTGATTGGGATCTTTTTACTTTAATAAGTTATGATGAGTTCACGTGAAATGAATAGACTAGACTTGACGACTCCGATTTCGAAATTCCTTTTGGGATGAAGAATATCCCATCGTTTTGGAGTGGTATACTTCTTCTCAAAGTTTCCTTTTATGGTTCGCCTTGCCTCAGCGTTTTTCGTCTTCCTTTTTTCACACTTTTCCTTCATCTGGTTTACATAAACCCAAAGTTGTCTAAAATTCACAGCTCCTGGTTTGCTTGTCTGGCTCCGATTTTTCAATTGGTTTTGGTTGGATGATATGGCTTTCTGGTTCTCCGATTCACTGGTCTAAGTGTATGCCATCTGGTGCTTTAAATTCATTATGTAATATGCTAGATGGTGAAATTTTCTATGTTTCTTCTGTGTGTGTGTGTCTTTTTTTTTTTTTTCCTCCCCTCTCTTTTTTGACGTTTGTGTCACATAATGAGTTTCTATTAGCATGTTTCTCTTTGTAGGTTTGAGACCTGAGACTTGCTAGTCAATTGTATTTTGAGGTACACATTTTATGCAAGTTGGAAGAATATCTAGAGTTTTAGATGCTATAATTGGACTAACTGAGAAATTAATGTAGTAACAAAATTTGCACATATTTTCGTAATTCCCAGAAGTTTAGACCTTTTCTTCTGCAAAGTTTGGGCGCTGCCTAAGATCAGCAGTGCCCATGGATGCCACAACTAGCGGAACCCCTACTATTCAATACCATAACATTCCTGAGCAGCCAATTACTGCCATTGTTGCAACACCTCTACCAGCATTTGAACGGCAACAACGCCATTGCTTTGGGGACTCTAGTCCAGGAGAATTCCCCTTGTCTGCTAATCCCTCCATTGTGCTTCATGTCCTCACAACGTGTAATTTGGATCCTCAAGATCTTGCTAGTTTAGAGGCAAGCACTATACTTGTCTGCATTTCAATTGTGAAGTTGTTCTTGAATGGTGGTACTAATATTAAGAATGTTGGTTCCGTTTTGAATGTGGCTGCTGCTACTGCTGCTGCAGGCAACATGCTCCTTCTTTAGACAGCCTGCAAACTTTACTCCCGACTTCAGTTTGTCCCTGTCAGAGCTTGCTGCTCTGGACATGTGCCAAAAGAGAGCCATTTTTGGGCCAATGACAACAGAACAGAAGCAAGAATTGAAGCAAATATGTGGGGGTTCTTGGAAACTGGTTTTGAGGTATTTGCTTGCAGGAGAAGCATGTAGTAGGAGGGAGAAATCACAGGCAGTAGCAGGTCCTGGTCATAGTGTTGCTGTGACATCAAAAGGGGTTGTTTATTCATTTGGTTCCAATGATTCAGGACAACTTGGTCATGGTACCACTGAAGAGCAATGGCGACCTTGCCCTATCAGGCTAGTTCGTTTGGCCATATCTAAATCATTGCAGCTTAATTGGAAGATGAATAGTTGATTAAATGTTTACAGAGCTTCATTATGTTGCAGATCTCTGGAAGGAATTCGAATTATACAAGCAGCTGCAGGGGCTGGGAGGACTATGTTGATCAGTGATTCTGGGCAGGTATATGCCGTTGGGAAAGACTCTTTTGGGGAAGCTGAGACTGGAGCTCAAGGACCAAAGATTGTCACCACTCCCTCGTTAGTTGAGTCTTTGAAGAACATATTTGTGGTTCAGGCTGCAATTGGAAATTTCTTCACAGCTGTGTTGTCAAGAGAGGGCAGGGTTTATACATTTTCTTGGGGTAGTGACGGGAGACTTGGTCATCATACTGATCTAAATGATAAGCAACCTCATCCCTTGTTAGGAGCCCTTGAAGACATACCGGTGGTGCAAATAGCTGCTGGATACTGCTACCTACTTTGTCTGGCATGTCAGCCCAGTGGAATGTGAGCTCCAACTGTGACTCCTTACATTGGCTGTCAAAATTAGCTTCGTTATCCTTAAATCTATTAGTTTTTTTTGTGTTCATGTAGTCTAGGTCATTGTTATTATTTATAACTGAGTTTTACTGATCTTATGATTCTCTGTTGAATTCATAACAGGTCAGTATACTCAGTTGGGTGTGGCTTAGGTGGAAAGCTTGGACACGGTTCAAGAACTGATGAGAAGTATCCTCGTTTGATTGAACAGTTCCAGAATTTAAACCTTCAACCCATGGTGGTTGCAGCTGGTGCGTGGCATGCTGCAGTAGTGGGGCAGGATGGCCGTGTTTGCACGTGGGGATGGGGGCGCTATGGCTGCTTGGGTCATGGTAATGAAGATTGTGAATCAGTGCCAAAGGTGGTGGAAGCATTGAGCAATGTCAAAGCAGTTCACGTTGCTACTGGAGATTACACAACCTTTGTAGTGTCTGGCAATGGTGATGTGTATTCATTTGGTTGTGGAGAATCTTCTAGTCTGGGACATAACACCGGAAATGATGATGGACAGGTCTGTTTTGCTTTTTCCACTTTTTCTTATTTTCTTGGATGATTCTTTTGAGAGCTTTACCTTTCAAGAGGTTAAGCTTCCCCTCTCAACATGAGATCCACTTTTGAGATTCTCACTTCATTATTGAGTGAACACTTAGAGTGAGAATCTCAAGGTAGACTTAATGGTGAAAAACCTCAATCTTGGGAGGCAGAAATCTCACATATAATCAACCTATTTTCATGGCCACATTACACATTATAGCTAAGTTTGTTTTAGACTGGATATTTTTATCGTATTTCTAAAACCAGATTTTAATATTGGATATTTACTCCTGGCACATTCTATTGTAACTTATGTTACTTATTCACTAAGAATATATTGATTCTATTAAGTCATTCATCTATGTTATGTTTATACATGCACAGGGAAACGGGCACTCAAATGTTCTAAGTCCAGAGCTTGTAACTTCACTGAAGCAGGCTAATGAGAGGGTGGTTCAGATCAGCCTGACCAACTCTATATACTGGAATGCTCATACATTTGCCCTGACCGAATCGGGTAAGCTGTACGCCTTTGGCGCTGGGGACAAAGGACAGCTGGGAATTGAGCTCGCGGCGAACCAGACCGAGAGGGGAAAACCAGAGAGGGTTGATGTTGATCTCGGTTGATCAATCATCTGTGTATTATATTCTATCCACTAATTTATGGTCTCAATGCATGATGTTGCATTTAGTGTTTAAGTTTCTTCTGTGTATTCTGTAAATAGGGAATCAAAGAAAGCATCATGAAGGTGTATGGTAGGGTAAACAGCTAACAAGGGCCTCATGGTGTTGCAATATGCTTGTTGATATCATCGCTCCTAGGCTTTGACTAGTTGATAGTTCAAACATTGATTAGTTGATACATTGTTTATGCTTCATTTATTGCCTAGTTGTTTCATGCTGATTTTTGTAGATCGTTTGCTTAGCAGCAATTTGGTTAAAATTGGCCTTTTATTCTCATTGTGGTCTTCAAGACTAATGTTGCTTGCACAATAAGAAATTTCCATAACCTCAATAGCAACTGAACCGGATATATCCTGAGTTTTGATTATTTGTATAGAAGTTTGTCTCTCCTTGTGCAAAGACAGGTTGAACTAAAATACAGATACATGTGAGTTGAGAGAGCCGTGAGAAAAATATAACTAAGCAAATAATATTTCCTTTGATCTTAAATGAGATACTTAGTTGAAGATTTATTTTAGTCTTGATATTAATTTATTTTTTCTCTCAAATTTATAATGTTCTCCTAATTATTTTTATCAATTTTACATCAGTAGGGATAGTTTTTTCCCAATAAAATAGGGGTAGTTTTTAGTACAAAGGAATATCTTTGAATTAATTATTTAATGTTTATATTTAAATTTCTATATTTAGAACATTTTTTTATCATCAAGAATGAAAGGGATTGACTCTTGACTCTAATGAAACTTGAAATTCAAGTGTAAATTTGATTATTAATCGTCTGAAGGTGGCTATATTTTAAATATGATCATAAATTAGATTAATGAATTCATGACTTGAATTTTTGTCCACTGAATATCTAAAAACAATAGTATGAATTCATAAAAATGAAAAAAAATTATTAATCCATTAAGAATTGAAAAAATTATTCAATATTTAAAAATTTTTACATTTTTCCAACTTGACAGATTTTTACGCTAATACTAATATATATGCATAATTACGAAAAAAAAAATCAAATCAATAAATTATATTAAAATAAATTATTATTTTCACTTCAAAACATTAAGTATTCCTCCAATCCTAAATATAAGGCCAATTTTCTAGTTTAAGTTTTTTTTTTTTAACCTCTATTCATCACGTTTCTTATTTAGCTGGTGCACTGCGTTTTCAAAAGCTTCTTATCGAACCAGCTCCTATTTCAATCCGTGCTAGACCGAGCAATATACCAATAATTAAGTCTTCAGTTAACTGGGGAAATACATCGCATCAACCTGAGAGCATTAGCCGATCTGGTACATCAACACATGTTCCCCCGCCCATTCCAATCTTGTCTAACTTGTCGGAGGAGTATTATTTAAAAAATACTCCTCCGGTCCTTATTATAAGATTCAATTTGACTTTTTATTTGGTCCTAATTATAAGACCCAATCCATTTTGTCTCTTATATTTATGCATTTTTTTCCAAGATAATCCTTCTAATAATGATAGTTTTAGCCAATATACTTAATTAGCAAGGATATTTTAGGAATGACAACACTTATTTATTATAAATAACCAACTTAACTTATTTCCTTAATCTCCTCAAATAAATCAATTGGGTCTTATAATTAGGACCGGAGGAGTAAATAAGTTTCCAAGCTGTACAAGTGGGATCCACCGATCCGGTATCGTTGATCCAGTCATCGTATTTTCCCCTCCCATGCACATTTTTGTCAACGCAGTTTTTTGAATATATAGAAAATAAAATCACACAATTAGATCTCAACTCCAAATCAAATCCCAAAAAATGTGCCACTACCTCCGGTCCTTAACAAGTTAATATAAAACTCAATTGACTAATTTAAAAAATTAAAATTATTAATTGTTTAATTATAACGTATGTTACGTAATCTTTTTTAAGTACTATCATGTATCATTAAATTATATATCAATTTAAAAAAGCAACAAATTAGTTTAGAGAAAAAGATAAATATAACCATTTTCTAACTTTTTTAATCCCTCCGAATGAATCAAATTAGATTAAAAACCTCCGGAGGTAGTACAAAGCACTAATCCAACAGCTACGAGATAATGTGGAACCAAAACTCTGCGAGTCCTTCCCTTAATGCACTAGATGGCAAATAGGAATACGCAAGAGCAACAAAAACAGGTCCCCACTTCATTTTCTCTCCTGCCCACTGTTACAAGCTCAAAAGTACAATAAATTAATCCATAATTTTTTCAAGACTTGAATAGGATCGTCCAACAAAACAAAAGGCCATTCATCTCCAACACAAAGCCAAGCCAAAATCCATGATACAAATTTAATCAGGGGAACCATATGGTTAATTTCTTGCTCTAGAAACCAAATCAACCCATCAGAACAGAGTTTACAACTAAAGGAATCAGTATTGAGATGGGGATATAACATCATCAATTTTCAGTATCATCTTGACGACTTGAGTCGCAAGCAGAATCTGTTGTTGCTTCCCAATTAACGTCTCAAAGACATCTTGCTCCCGCATATCGTTAGTGCCAACGTCATTGCAATCAATGCCCAAATGGGGATTGTTCTCCTGCAAAATGGTGGCAGCGTCAGAGATAAGCCACAGTATATTCGAAAACTCCAGGGATTGGTCGGAGCCAGGGGGGGCTCAAAGCAATCATAACGCTCGATTTACCTTTATTTGCAGAGACTTCACAGCAGATAGAGTTTCAATAGGTTGGAGACCGCTGTTTTCAGCAAGGGCCATTGGGACAGAGTCCAGTGCATCGGCAAATGCTCTAATAGCATACTGCAGGAGAAAGGAAATTTTCAGCAATTAATACAGCAACATGCATAGCAAAAACAACAATAACCAAATACCTGTTCTACTCCAGGATATCTGTCCGCAGCTGCCTCCACAGCAACAGAAGAGGATATTTCGGCTGAGCCACCACCATATACAATTGAATTGTTGCGGATGAGATTTCTAGCTACACACAAGGCATCATGAAGGCTCCTTTTTGTCTCCTCTATGATCATTTTATTACCTGCCGCCAAAATAGACAGCCTCTGTTAGTTTGTCGTGATTGCCAGACCAAAATAACTAATCAGTCGTAAGTAAATAGTATGTTTAAGAAGTTGCACTCTCACTGCCTCAACCCATGAACTGAATATTGTAAAGCCAATAATACAGATCCTATGTACAAAGAATGAACGAGGTTTAAAATTAAAAACCCATAGTAATATTGATCAGTTCAATATCAATTGTTTTCTCCAAACAGGCAATTCATTAAACAGCGAATCAAAACTAAAATAGTGGAATATAATATGAACCAATTGAATTGGATAGGAAAATGATAACAGGTACATGTCTTCACCTCCTCGAATAAATATTGTCACTGCCCTTGAATTTGCACAATGCTCAATATACAGCATCCGGTCTTTTGTTGTACCAAATGATTTTTCTCGAACCATACCAGCCTTAAATACAAGAGAAGATCACAAATTAATGTAGATTATAACAAAGCGCACAAATAAAAAATCCGTAAAGAGAAAGAGTCCTTGATGCACAAGATGCCTACCCAACAATGGAAATAGGAAAAGGAAAAACGGTACACGGCTAAGAGATTCAACCAACTAGTTTTCTGAGGAAAAAGGTATCTCCTACAACTTTCAACTAATTTACCTCCCATTTGCGATTAAAAACAACATGCAAAAATAACAATTAGACAAGTATCTTGGAAAAAGAGGAAAAGAGAAAGGTATTGAAATCATACAAGAAAAGAAAGAGTTCAATCTCCAACAACTAGAAGGGAATAATGATTGTTGAAAAATGAGGGTTGACAGGATACCTTTCCCAACTTTTCTGGAGTTAATTCCTGGAACCTAGGCACAATTCTTCCTCCTGCATCAACAAACAGCTCATCATATCCACATAGGCCAAGAGATAAATGTCCTAGAAATGGTCATAATTCATATACAAAGTACAGTTTCTTAAAGATGATATATCCAAAACATGAGAAGCTTAAATAAAACAAACCTGTTGCGATTGCTATCAATTCCAGCTCTACACCACCAACCCATCTGACGGCAGGCAAGTTCCTGTGCATTAAGAGATGATTTGCTTCATCATCAAAACCCCATTGGCAGATAACCAGGGTTGCACCTACATCCTGCAAAGAGTAATTGTTAACATTTACATAGATCCAAACAAATTCTAGCAGGAAACGTTCAGAATTGTTACAGTTGATGAGCCAAAAAATTAATATAAAAGTAGTCCATTTTGAATTTATACCCAGCTAAGCTGATATACCCACCCAAGCCAGATGACAAGGCATTCATATCACAAGATTCATAAAGAATAAGATGCTTAGGCATGATCAGCGAAAACCCACTATTAGCAGAAAAATCAAGGGCTTGGTAATAAGAAGTTACCTTGCATTTTTGAACCATGTCATCAAAATACTGCTGTTCTTGCTTCCGTAATGTTTGGAACTTCTCCACTGTATCAATATCAACCTTATGCTTAGTCTTTGGTTTGGGAGGCTCAAAGGGGCAAGTCAGGATAGCAATTTTAGCATTTTCAATTTGCTTTGGCATTTGTGGATGGCTCATGTCCTTGTCTACAATAATTCCATATATCAGCTCTGTATCTTCCAATTTCCCCCCAACCTTTCCTTCTACTTTAATTAGATCTAGGTTAACATCTTTTCTCTCTAGATCAGCTACAGCAAGCACAGCTTTGACAGCGATCTCGGCCAAGCTACGCTTGCACCGGTTGACACTGCAAACAAGATGATTGATTCCACTATTAAAACTTGCTGCTTTATAGTTATATAACTAATTTAATATAATTTAGAAACATGCATTCCATTTATAGTTCAATGATGTATCATGAAATGAATTGAACTGTACGCACATTTTTGAAGAGAGGGTAGTCATACAAGTTTGAACCAGAGGCTCCAGATTGGTTGGTCCAAATTCAAACTTATGAGCTACACGCTCCAAATGTTCAACAGCAATTCGGGATGCAGATTCATAGCCCTCAGCAATCCTAATTGCATGAATTCCTCGTTCCAACAGCCGCTCTGCTTGCTCAAGAAGTGCTCCAGCCAATACAACAACTCCCGTGGTGCCATCACCAATTTCATAATCCTGACTTCTAGATAATTCAACCATCAGTTTTGCAATTTGGTTGTCAACATCCATCTGCTCCAAGATCGTTGCACCATCATTGGCTGTAAACTCACAATGTCACTGTTCAGGAATCTCAATCACAATAAGAAAGCAAAGTT